TGCCCCGGTGTGTGCCAGACCTGTGGGAGCTGCAGCATGCTGGGACCCTCCAGCACAAACGCTGTCCAGTGCAGCAGCCCTGAGGAGACTGAGAAAATGCCTTAGCAGAAACAGCAGCGGCAAGCACAAGATTTTTCAACGCCTTGTCACTGACAGTCCTCCTATTGCCTAGCAATGAAGCTGAAGGCTTTCTTAGTCTCTTTGCAGCCCAGTGTCTGGTCTATTTGCTGCTGATGGAGCCTTGCTGAGCCGCACCTCATATGTCAGGGTTAGGAAATGAGAGGCCACTGGGGTACCCTGCAGCAGAGCTCTGTGGCTGTTTTGATGTCCTCACACTCAAAATAGCCCTGATGCTAGTCTAGGGTCTCCCCGCTATTACATAACTCCAAACTGGGGCATCTCCTACACAGATGGGAAAGAAACTGGGAGGTACATGGTAGTGCATGGTCTAAGCTGTATCTTGTACAGAAATAGTTGTAGCTGTGACTGAGTGGGAGGAGAAGCCTCATGAGAGGTTGAAGCTAATACTATCAGAAGGATTTTAGCACAAGACAGAGTCTGGCTACAGCCTCTGAGCAAAGCTGGCTGCCTGCTGCCTTCCTGGGCGCTCCCAGCTGCACCAGACACAGCTCCTGGGCCAGGAGCTGGTGGGACTGGAGCTGGAGCAGAAATGCGGAAGGAGGATGGAGCTCCCTGCCTGAGCCTGCCGGCATCCTCCCACACGAGTGGCAGCTCGTATTTCTCTCAGGGACACGTCGGCTACCGCAGAATAGGAAGAAACGAATGGTATTGGTGGAGAAACCTGGATTTTTTTCCCCCTTCACACAATGAGAGGCTGCTGCTGGGAGCACAGGGGAGGAGAAGGGATCACTGCATTTCTGCCCCAGCTCAACACCAGGGAAGGGCAGAGTGCTCGCTGGGCAGAGCATGGAGCGATAAGGGTGTTTTTTAATCCAATTTTGTTTCCAGGAGGAGCATGGAGGAGGCGTAATATCTCTAAATGCACAGGTTAACCTAATTCTGTTTGAGTAAACCACAGAGTGCCGCTGGTGTCACCTCAGCCTCCATGCATCAGGAGGCAGAGCGGATGGGCATTAACCTCCCTGTCACTGGGTAGATCTGACCCCACTGTGTAGAACAGGTTATCTCTTTGGTTAAAATCAAGAGAGGACAGAAGGGGAAAAGGCATGGAAGATAACTTCTTTTTTTAAAAGACAGAAGCAGCAGTTCAGGGCCAAATTCCTACTGATTTTCAAGAGGGACCTAGGTCTTTCCCACTGTTGACACCACTGCTCGCTTGCTGCTCTGGGGGTAGCTCCTGACATGAGCTGCCTCTTCTCAGCCTGTGGTGAGCATTTCTGCTGGATGATATCCAGCCTGTATTTCCCTGACCAGCCAAAGAGGCTGGCTTGTTTTTGGTTTGAAAAAGTACAGCATGTTGAAGGATGCAAACCCATCCTCATGGTCTTGTTCTAGTCCCCTCCTCAGTTTCAGGCTAGTAACCAAGTCAGTAGTGCAACTAATGTAAAAAGCAGTAAAACACACCAGCTTTTAATTTAAATGCCTGGCTTGCATGAGGAATCAGGCAGGTTCTCCTTAAGAGGCAGCCCCACAGACAAGGAGAAGGTCCTCTGCTTACTGCCCCACTTGACCCCCAGTTTAGCCACCCCTCAGGCAGGCGGGTGCCCTTACCTGAGTCCTGGGAGGGGTGATGGGCACATCTTTAGTGGAGACACAAAGGAGAACGATGCCCGTCAGTCCCGCTGCAATCACCATCCAGGGGGGAAGAAGTTCACGCCAAGACATGAAGCGCTTTCTCCTTTTGCAAAGAGTCAAAAGAGGAAGCAGAGGAGCAGCAAACTGACAGCGACTGCTTTTTACAACCTTTAAAAAGAGGAGAAAGGCGGGGCTGGGGCCAGGCTCTGACTTTGGGCCAGCCCCAAGCCACAGGGACCACAAGGAGCGCGTGGGCCAAGCTGCAGTGCGTCAGGGAGTTCTCCCTTCCATCGCTCCACACAATAAATAAAACAATGGTTTCATGCCTGTTCCAGTAGTAGCTTTGCAAAGGCATCAGTGCAACCTCGAAACTGCCCCAGGTGACAGGGTTGAGGTAAACAGAAATGTGGGGTTAACTCAGCTGTGTAATAAGCAGGTGAAACTCATCTCTTTGGTATTCTGTTCCTGGCAGTGCTAGCTGCCAAAATTAGAAGTGGGGAAGCTCCTTGTTGCTGGGTTTACTTTATATCTGAGGGCTCCAGGGTGGACTTGGAGTGCTTCCCCGCGAGCACATGTCCATCAGGTTGGGGCAGAGCACGGACACTCTGCCCAGCTCCTTCAGACTGCTCCTGCCCCCCTGTTCACTCTCAGGTGGCACCTGGGACAGGAAAACATCTGCATATTTGAGTTTCCACCCACAGGAGACTCTGGCTGGTTTGGGCTTTGCTGTGGGTAGGAGACAGTGGAGGCTGCTCAAGTCTTTTGTCCCCCAGAAGGCCAGTGTCAGCATAGGTGCCTGTACACCCCTTCCTGAAAGCCTCCCCATGAAAGATAACCAACCCCCAGCCTTTACAAAACATGCACCAGCTTTCTCCTTTCTGGTGCCACAAAGACACATTCCTGAAACCAGAATTTCTGAAGAAAAATGTGTTAGTACCAGGAGAGGTGCTTCTTTCAGGCTGTTCCCACCTGTTTCCCAGTGACTGTGTCAAGGAATAAAAGTGCAACTCCTTTAAATAAATGTTTTTGTTTGTGTGAGCTTGACCATTTACTGACAAGGCCATCTTGTCCCCACCAGAGGAATTCACCAGCCAGGCCTCTGTTTGCAGAACTAAAGGAATGACACCTTCTTGGTCTTGCAGAGATATTTGGAGATGTGTCTCTCCCTGTTAGAATTGTTCTAAGCAAAGTGCCAGACTTCCCTCATCTGGCTGCAGACTTTAGACTCCAGCTCAGGTTTTGCTGGTCAGCAACTAGAATGCAATTGCCGATGTCCTGTAGTGACAGGACAAGGGGCAATGATTTTAAACTGAAAGAAGGTAGGTTTAGATTGCACATAAGGAAGAAACTTTTTTATGATGAGGGTGGTGATGCATTGAAACAGGTTGCCCAGAGAAGCTGTGGATCTCCATCACTGGAACTGTTCAAGGCCAGGTTGGACAGGGCTTTGAGCAACCTGGTCTAGTGAAAGAAATCCCTGCCCATGGCAGGAGGTTGAGCTAGGTGATCTTCAAAGGTCCCTTCCAACCCAAACCATTCTGTGATTCTTTGATTTGCTTATACTTGGGCTGACAATGATCTACTTTGCAATGGGGACATGGATTAAATTGCCAGAGTGCTGAAAGTCCTCCTCCCCCTGCTCTCACGTCTGCCTGTGAGGACAGGCAGGCTTTCATGGGCTTCAGTGGGAAGGGTTTGTGCAGCAGCTCGTCTTGCTGCAGTGTCGCAAATAAAACAGGTGTCCCAGGAGTCCTCCTGTTTCAAAGAAATGGTGCACCACTGTGGTGGTGGCTGATGGCTCATGCCCACTAAATAAAACAATGTTTGGGTTAATGCCTATGCTATAGTGGCACTTTAATTTAGGGCAAATGTGCTGCACTGATCTTCTAAGGAGGATCACTAATCACTGGCTCTATTGTGTAAGCCTGATACTTTGTATAAAGGATGATGCAGGCCTTGCTAACACTGCACCCTTGAAGAGGAGCTAAAAGATTGATAAGAGGGGAACATCCTGCCCCAGAAGGTGCCAAAGGCTGGTTGACTGCCTGAGATGCATGAAGTCAGCAAAAATCGGTGGCAGCTGGGGGAAAAGTAAAGGCATCAGGGAGGGACCTTGACCACTGACTCAATTTAAGAGCAAGAAAATGTGTCCCCCCTCACCCTTTGAGTTTGCGCAGAAGAATTCAAAGACACTGTAATTTTAAATCGAGATGAAGCGTGTTGTTAGCCAGTGAGACAAAGTGATAAGAAACAAACCTGTGGTCATTAGAGTAAATGTGTATCCGTGTAGTTTGAAGTGTATAAACACACTGAAGTTCTTTTGTGTGGTGTGCTAGCTTTGTGAAATTACCACCTAGCATCCCACTCTGCGCAGACATGGAATAAATATCTTGGCTCCGTGTGTAAGACTGGCTTATTGCACACTGGGTACTGAACCCTGTTTGAGGGACAACACATGGGCTGGTCATGGTAGTTTATACCAATATTGTGATATATCAGCAGCACCTAAGGATATCCCGCAGCTACAGTGGAGCTGCCGGATCCTGCCGTGGTCAGGCCAGTCCTGCTTCACTCCCATCAAAACCACCAGCGCAGGGGCTGCTTCTGCAGCTGGGACACCGAGAGGGGCAGTGAGGGACCTGAGGGCGCTGGAGCAGCTCCTGGGTGGGAATAGCAGAGAGCATCCTTTCTGTCATCTGGATGTTGGGGCTCACACGGGTCTGTTGACAAACCCAAGTGGTTTGGGAGGCTCTAAATCACATAGGTTTTGCCTCAATAGTTATACTAACAGGGGGGCAGACAGCAAAGTGGTTTCTGAGATGGGTTGAACTGGTGCAGCTCTGTACAATCCTGGTGCCTGGCTGTAGATCTCATGAAGGACAAAGTAGGAATTTTTTTTTTTTTTTTTTTTTTTTTTCCCACTCTGCGGCTGACTATCCTGAAAGCACAGGTCTGCTGAGGTTAAACCTTGATAGGGAAAGACCATTTCTCCTTTGTCAGGCTGGTTTTGGCCGCTTTCCCCGTTTCCACCACTGTCTGCCAGGGGCCAGGCAAGCAGTCGCGGCCGCCCCACGGGCGGGGATGCCTCACGCACCCACGGGAACCCCGGCATTTGCTGCCACGCTCCCATATTGGCGCGGACCGGAGCAGGGTGCCTCGGGGCCTCCCGCAGCGAGCTGCCCGGCACGGCGGGCGCTGTGGGCCCGGTGCCGGCGGGGGGTGCCCGCAGGCGCGGCGGAACCTTTGTGCGGCGGAGCGGGTTCGGCGGGGCGGGGAGGAGCGACGGACCGCGCCGAGCTGGGGGACCCGAGAGCGGGGCGGCCCGCGGAGCCGGGCGGGCAGTCGTGGCGGGAGCGTGGCCCGGCGGGCCCGGCCAGGCCGCCATGTACGCGGGGCTGCAGGAGCTGGGGGTGGCCAACGGCGAGGACCTGAAGGAGACGCTGACCAACTGTACGGAGCCGCTGAAGGCCATCGAGCAGTTCCAGGTGGGGCGGGTCGCCGTGGAGATGCCCGGGCGGCGGGGCTGCACCGGGGGGCCGGCTGCGAGGGGCCGGGGCTGTGGAGCGGTGGGGAGCACGAGAAGGCGCGAAGTGGGGTCTGTTTTGTGGGGGTTTTACCTCTTTGTACTTTTTAACCAGCGTGTCTTTATCAGTCCCTGCCGTCGTCTGCTGGCTAGCGGAGCCGGCTAACCCCCCGCTCCGTCCCTGTCCGGGTTTGTGTTGGCAGACAGAAAATGGAGTGCTCCTGCCCTCGCTGCAGTCGGCCCTGCCCTTCCTGGACCTGCACGGCACCCCCCGCCTGGAGTTCCACCAGTCGGTTTTCGACGAGCTGAGGGAGAAGCTGCTGGAGAGGGTCTCCGCCATTGCTTTGGAAGGGAAAGTGGAGGAGAGGTTTGTCAGCAGTCTTCCTGGTTATCGGGAGTGAGCTGGGAACTTTGTGTGAAAATTAGTTACAGCAGATGAGTGACTTCTGCAGAGGAGAGTTAGATTCCTGGGGGATCAAGTTTCACTGGTTTTGAGATGAGCCACTTTGGTCCTTTACTGTAACATGGTACTTAGTCTCATGTTCTTACATGTTTTCAGATACAAGAAGTTGGAAGATCTCCTAGAGAAGAGCTTTTCCCTGGTCAAGATGCCTTCCATACAGCCTGTGGTAATGTGTGTCATGAAGCACTTGCCCAAGGTAAAACCACTCTGCTGGTTGGCCTGTTCTCTTACATCTCTGTTGTATGGCTTCTCTTTGCTGTGCTGTTGGCTGGGCTGCATGCTCCATCTGCAGACCTTATGCAAGTTTGCCATTCGCTGTTAGGAAATGACTGAAGATTTACTATAATCTTGTATCTGGCAGCAACTTCGTAGACTAATTCGAAAAACATTTGACGTTTTCAGAATCAGACAAGGCTATTCCCCTATTTTATTCCATACATGTAGCTTCCCAAAAGTAGTTCAGTTCACTGACATGTGAATTTTTCCACAACTGATTTAAAAATCTATGACAAGTGGAAAATGAGATTTGAAGAATGCAGCTAGAAGTAGACAGGAGTGAGATTCAGATCTGTGAAACAAAAACCTTTAGGAGCAGCCTTATTAAAACCGTCATATTGTACTTAAGGTAATGGATTCAAAACTGATACTAGAACTTTTATAAGTTACTGTTTTGAAACATCACCTCAGATCTTAGTGCTACAGGTTTAAAGGAAGTTTTAAGTGTCTTAGGACTGAATTACTGTTGTAGGAGTAGGGAAGGCAAAAGATGAGTCTGCCTTTTGTTTAATTGCATTGTGGTGTAAATTACCAGACTACCCAAGATTATGATTTAGGTGTTTTACTACTTGGGCAGTCAGGTAGGTAAGCTGCTCTGCCCCTTGGTAACTGCTCTGTTGATCGTAGGTCCCTGAAAAGAAGCTGAAGTTAGTAATGGCTGACAAGGATTTGTATAAAGCATGTGCAGTGGAGGTGAAGCGCCAGATTTGGCAGGATAATCAGGCTCTGTTTGGTGATGAGGTATCTCCACTGCTGAAGCAATATATCCTGGAGAAGGAAAATATTCTCTTCAGCAGTGATATCTCTGTCTTGCACAATTTCTTCAGTCCATCTCCCAAAACAAGACGTCAAGGAGAGGTAAGGACAACTTTGCTACTAAAGTTGTTTGGCTATTTGCAAGAAGTACCAGGCCATTTTCTTTGACATATCTTGATGAAAGCAGCAGGAATTATTTTAATTATTTTAATAGGTACTCAATGCTGTGTAATAATGTTCTAAACTGTTTATGAACTTTTTAAAAAAATAGCAAGGCCACATTTTTTCTGTTATTGCTCAGTCTGGCTTTAATATCCCTCAGCTGTTCTGAAGACTGAGCACCTCTATCAAATCAGTTTGGATATCTTAAATTTCTTTTCTAGGGACTATTTTTTTTTTTTAGCAGGACATAGCCCAACAAAATCTGCTTTTTTTTTTCCTTTTTTATTTTTTTCATAAAAATGAAAAGGGACATTGAAAGTTGCAGCTAAGCTGGCATTTAGAAAAGTTGCTCTTTGAATGGAATTACATGAAGTGGCTGAGCTGATCAAACACTTAGACACGGGAAGGGCAGGTGCTGCTCCTCCCCTTCCCACCTGCAGCTCTGGCGATTATCAGACCCTTCCATGAGCTGATTCAGCTCAGTAATTGCTACAGAAACTCTAGCAAATAAAACCAGTAAGTAGTTTTCCAAGGCGGTGAGTTGGATCTGCTCAAAGAAGAGATCAGATGGCACCAAAGCCATTGTAAGGAGGTGGACTGGATCACACAGGCAGGCTTGATGTTAGGAAGAGTGGGTCTTTTCTCTTGACAACAGCAAGCCATTGCAGTGGTTCAGCTATAATGTGTTCACTTTATCTCAGGGGGCTTTTGCTCCAAAAGCGAAATACCAGACTTTCTGTAAGGACCTTGCTGTCAAGAATGCTAAGGAATTGCAGTGATAAGGCAGTATAAAGCTTTTATTTTAGAGAGAGTAGCACATCTGATATGTGGGGAGGTTTGGTTTGGGTCTGTTTTGCTTTTAAAAGTCCATTTAGTGTAAGTGCCCTGGTGCAGTTTACTTCAGGCTTACACGCAGACTTGTGGTTTAACCCTAGCTGGCAACTAAGCACTGCACATCCTGCTCACTCCCCACCCTGGTGGGATGGCGGGGACAATTGGAAGGGTAAACAAAAGAAACTTGTGGGTTGGGATAAAAACAGTTTAATAATTAAAAAGAAACTTTTTTTAAAAAAGTAAGGAAAAAGCAACAAAGAGGAAAATAAAACCCAAGAAAAACAAGCAATGCAAAGGAAAACAGTTGCTCGCTTCTGACTGACCGATGCTCAGCCAGGTGCTGAGTGGTGCCCCCCTGCCAACCTCCACCCCTGGTTTTATTGCTGACCGACGCCGTATGGTCTGGGGTGTCCCTGGGGTCAGTCGGGGTCACTGGCCCGGCTGTGCCCCCCCAGCCACTCGCTGGTGGGGTGAGGAGCAGAAAAGGCCTTGACTCTGTGTGACTGCTCAGCAATAGCTGAAACATCCCTGTATTATCAACGCTGTTTTCAGCACAAATCCAAGACACAGCCCCATACAAGGTACTGTGAAGAAATTTAACTCTATTTTAGCCAAACGCAGTAAAAGCCTTCACTTTCAATCTCATGCTCAGAGCCTGAAGGTAGATAGAAATACAAGAAGACTTCCAAAGAAAAGAAGTTTTGTTCATGGTGAAATCATTGTAAATGATATTCCTCAACAAATGGTACTGCTTAACTGTTTCACATAGCTGAGCACCTTGTTTTACAAATGCTTCAATTACCTTTTGCAAGGGAGTCTTTTCTGGCATTCTCTATTCTTTCATTACAGCTGTGAAAGATGTAGTGAACATCTCTTAAGCAAACACGTTAGGAAATCTTGGTGTAAAATAGATCCTTTTCAGGAACTCATGTGAATGCGAATGTTTCAATCTTAATAAATCATGCTGAAGAATTAATGTACATTTTATGTGTGTGAAATAACAGTATCTCTTGGTATTCAGTGCATGCTTTTCCCTTCTTGAGTTTAGGTGGTTCAGAAGCTGACCCAGATGATTGGGAAGAATGTGAAGCTCTATGATATGGTACTGCAGTTTCTGAGAACCTTGTTCCTTCGTACAAGGAATGTTCATTACTGCACGCTACGTGCAGAGCTCCTGATGTCACTGCATGACCTGGAAGTCAATGAAATCTGCAACGTGGACCCCTGTCATAAGGTATTAATCATGTGGGACACATAGAAGTATTACTGGCAAATTTTCTGTTGCACCCATGCCTGTGCATACCTGCTGCCCTGCAGGACTTCAGCCTAGACAAGATGACTCTTCTCAGTGAAGAGAGTTCAGACCTTGAACCCAAATGTCATCTTTTATTCCTTGGAACCTCAGGTGAAAATTTCATCTTGGTTAAGCAGCGGCTTGCTGTCATTTCATAACCCATAAATCATTCAAGTTTATGCTACTTGTGCAGTGTTAAAAAAAAAGTCTGATCTGACCTACGATGCTGCAAAAAATAATCAAAATCATTAGTTAGCCCTGGGTTCTTAATTAAATCTTTCTTCCCTCCCTGTTGTGCCTGGTGTGATATACTCCATCTATCAGTAAACTCTAACATTAAATACTTTGGATTTTAGATTATAAGAAAACATTGAACTATTACATTAAACTATTAAAATATCGGGAGGTGACAGATGTGTTGTTAATGTCGCACCAGGATCTTGCTACTTGTCCTTTGTTTGTGGGTAGGATCATACTGATCCTAGAACAAAGCTCTTAAGTAATGTTGTTAAGTTTTGTGTGTATTCAGAATATAGAGAGTATGTCCTAGAGTGATGATGTTACTGCATGTTTTTTAATGTCTTCTGATCAGGACTCCCAAAATCATTATATAGACAGTGACTGGATAAAAAAGGGCAATTCTTGTTCAAGTTGCACATAATTTTCAGTGAACTAATTTTGCTACTGCAAAATACAGTGACTGATGCAAGGAAAGGAAGCCATGATGAAAGCATTTCAAAAATTCAACAAGTTGTTCTTTTTTGACAGCTGAAATGTTGAGGGAAAATAAATTGTTTTCTGAAAGGGGAAGAAAGCCCTTAATTTTAGGTCAGATGAAACATTTCACTTCACTGTCTTTTTCCATTTTGATAATACAGCTCTAAAGAAGCAGCACCTCCACTGTTAATATCCCTTACTTAGAGGATGGGAGTGGTATTGAGATGGCTAAAATATCCCATGTTATTATTGCTGAGTGATGCTGCTTCTTTCTTTGTTAGCCTTTCTACTTGTGTAAATCCACACTGATTAGGTGTGCTGGGCAGTGGTATATTTTGTATGTGCCTCTTCCTTTATTGCCTGGGAATGTCTTTCTTGGGACAGGAGAAAGTGGCTCTGGGTTAACTTTACATTGGGATCTCTGACCTCCTTTGGGAATGCTCGTATTTCTGACCTCCTCTATTTGTGACCAGCTTGCTACCATACTGAAGTATATTATTAAAACATATTAATTCCAGATATTTGGAGCTCATTTGAACCTCTTTTCTCTAACAGTGTGTATTCTATTGCTGGTTTATTGGGTTGCTGTGTTTCATAAGGCTTTCTCCTTTTTTACAATAGTTCACCTGGTGCCTTGATGCTTGTATTCGGGAGAAGTTTGTGGACAACAAGAGAGCTCGGGAATTACAGGGGTTTCTGGATGGAGTGAAGAAAGGACAAGAACAAGTGTTGGGGTAAGTCACCTGGGCTGTTTATTGAGAAACTGAAAATGGGTTCCTGGCAGTCACAACATCTGACAGGTACTGTAGGTGTTAATTCTCCCCCAGAGCCAGCTAACAGCCAACAGCTCTTTTGTGTGGTCAAATCCAGTACATCGATGAGTGTTAATGCACTGGGGCATGGCCAGGCATGTTCTGGTGATAGAGCTTGTACTGATTGAGTTACCATCCTCGAATCTCCCCTGTGGCCTGGTAACTGATTGTGGAAGATCTCCTGCTTGATTTCAGTGCAGAAGACCTTTAGTTTCAGATAACATGCTCTTTCAAGTCAAAGAAATAACATTCATGGTGGTTTTACAAGGCAGGAGAAGGTTCATCAGGTGGACACCTGTAGGTAACAAAAGACAGAAATTCAGGTTTTACATTATCATAGTAAGGGTATTGTTATAGTATTTGCCCTGTGTCTACCTTTCTTCTTAAACACAGGAGTGTGCATGTGCTTATAAAAATACAGTGTACACACGCACACACTACTTTGATGGTACAACTGATAGTTGAGAGAATTACAACAAATAGACTCAACTTCGTACTCTGGTGAAGCACACTGGTGTCCTACAGCTGGATATGGAACTGTACAGTAGGGTTGTTTGTTATGTGTGACATGTATTTGATTTTTTCTCCTCAGGGACTTATCTATGATCTTGTGTGATCCCTTTGCCATTAACACCTTAGCCTTGAGTACCATAAGGCACCTGCAAGACCTGGTTGGGCAGGACACCTTACCCAGGGTGAGTGTTGCAGCTTTGGTACCAGTCAGCTATTAACTGAATAGCATTCATCAGCAAAGGGCTGGCATTGTAGAAGTACGATTAAGTTCTCCAATCCAGGTGTAAATTGAAATAAGGGAAATGTGATATTTGTGTATCTTTTTGTAGCACGTACCTTAGAGCTCTGCAGGAGCACTGCTTGGAGACAGGTGTTTTGCAGCTCTCTGAAATGACAACGAATTCTCTGCATGGTTCATTCTGTCCTAACAGCTATGCATATATAGAATCATGTATAGAATACGTGCCTCCCTGCTATGTCCTTCCGTCAGTTTACCTAAGAGCAGCAGCCTTTTTTCCCTGCCACGGTAAATGTGATGGATTAGTTTACACAGATCTGGTCTGTTGGCTGCGATATAATACAGTTCTTGCAAGCAGTGTCTGCAGGAGGTGCTTAAATGTTAAAGGTGGGTAGCCTTACAGGTGAACAGTGGGAGGCATTTGCTGTTTTTATCCCTGAGTTGTTAAATTATATTGTTGGATCAAATAACTTCCTCATGACAGTATAAGACTGGAAACTGTTTTGGTTTCAGGGCACAGTATAAATGAAAAAACAATGTTATTCTTCCACATGCTTTCTCTTTCTTACTACTGCTGAGATGACTTGATTTGTCCTGTCACACGTTACATTTCAGTATACTAATTTGGCTGGACACATTTAAAAAAATATGCCGTGATCAGACTGGCTGCATACTTCTTGGCACATTATGAAATGTTACAAAAAAAACACAAATCCCAGCTGTGTCTGTTATTCGATTCCCATTTGAGGAATCAGCTGTCAGTTAAATTGGAGAACTGAATGCCTCTAGCAGTCTGTGCTAAAGCTGCTAATCCAGGAGAGCTTGGAATGTAAACCACTACTTCCAAGTAAAAATGTGTATGTGCAACTTGTGGAAGATCAAAATAGCTGTTTTTCTCCTCCCCTTAAAATTCGAGGAAAGCCCGGATCTGCTGTTGCTCCTTAGGATGCTGTCTTTGGGACAGGGGGCCTGGGACATGATTGACAGTCAAGTCTTCAAGGAACCAAAAATGGTGAGCCATTTGGATGTTTAGAATTTAACACAATTAAACAACTTTAGACTTGTTTATTATTTTATTGTGTCCCTGATTTAATGTTCATTCTGCGTACCCCTCATCAGAACTTTCTCAGAGAAAACATGGTCACGGAGCAGCAGCTCAAGTGGTTGAGTTGTAAGCTTTATTTACCTGTTTTTTTGTTTGCGTGAATGACTGACTCAGTTTTAAAATCAAACTGTACCTCTATTGAATCTGCTCACTGTTCTTGGAAACTTCTACACAGCTGACAAATTTGTAAAACAGATCTTGTATTGGGAAAGCAGGATTTCAGAGGCTGTTCTGAAACTCTGGCAGAAGTGTGTAGCAGCTTTTCATTGATATGAAAAATGTTTTTCGCTTCCAGATATCTGTTGTAGTGATTTTGTGCAGTGGCACATTCAGCTACGATCTTTCCATCTTTGGAAATACTTTGCCCAGTTTTATAGACAGCCCTAGGGTAGTTTGGGAGCAGATAATGTTCAGCTGATGGCAGAAAGGCTAGCCATGGTGTTGCACAGCGAAGAGAAATTTGCTGTTTCTTTTCTGCACTATAAAGCAACAAATGCCTACCTAGGGGGACATTTGAAGTCTCCAAAATATACATTACTGGCTGATTGCACATTTAAATTTATTTCAGGAAGGGTGTGCATTTAACACTCAGATTGTAACAGGGAGGGTCACCGAAACTGCAACAGTAGCACTGTGATTTGATTTGCAGAGGTGCTCTTTGGAATCTCTTAGAAACTCTGACATTTTTGTTAACTCTGTGACTGAACATTTTTCCTAAAGGGAATCTCCAAATCCATATTTTAAATCTGTGATTGCCATAAGCTGTAACCTCCCACTCTGTGAATCTGATACAACATAGGTTGATCTGCCTGGTAGGAGGAGATGCTCATTATTGTTGCCATTCTAGCTGTGCATTGATCCCTGCCAGTTTAAGGAATGAACAAAATGATTTGTAATTCTTGATAAAAGCAGTTGGGTACCATCCTTAACATGAAGTGCTTGCATTTAGTATTGGAAAAGATCTCTCAGAAGACATGCTGCATAACTGTCCAAAGAAAGGATTTATGGAGGAGTGTTTCTGTAGAGGAGATGAAGTACAGATTTCCTGATTACCAGTGGAACATGTGGAAGTGAATTATTTAATGATTGTGACTGGAATTGGATGTCTAAAAGCCTGTTTTCCTAAGTGTAGGATGGGTCTCATAATATTGCCTTACTATTCGTTATGGTACTCTAGAACCATTATGTGCCATGAACTGATTGATGAAAGCACTGTTCTCTTTCCTCTGTTCTTCCATCCCTCTAAGGAAGCTGAGCTGATCACAAAGTTCTTGCCTATGCTGATGTCTTTTGTGGTGGATGACCACACGTTCAATGTAGATCAGAAACTGCCTTTGGAGGAGAAGGGACCAATTCCCTACCCCAGCACCATTCCTGAAGCTTACACCAAGTACGTAATCTGCCTAACCACCTTTGTACTGTACTTACAGTCTTGTACCAAAGTAAAACATCAAGGAACCAGCCAACACTGGCAGGAAAAACCACTGTATGTGGTAAAATTAAAACCTTCTTGGAGTAAAATTTAGTCCTGGTTGGTCAAGTCAGAAGTGTTCCTTTAGCAGAACATGGTTTGCGCCATGATTCATCAAGTAAAATATATCTACCATAAATAATATTTCTTTTAATGACAATTCTTTTGGCAGATTGAATATGAAAGTATTTGATATTAGTGCTTTCAAATATGCTGCTTGTGTAGCTTCCCAAGCTATACCAAGTGAATGATGAATGTTGGAGTGATATTTGCGTGCAGCTGGGCAAGTGTCCATTCTTGGTTCTGAAGAGTAAAGTTTGCATTTTTCTCACAGAGGGACTCATTCTCTGTTGATAACCTATCGCTTCAGGGATGTCAAAAAGATAAAGAAACCCTCTGTGTGCTATGTTGTATTCAGATCTTGCCCTAATTTCCGGCAAATTCTTATCTGTATGCTGGAATCTGGAGTACTGTATCCTGGTAGTTGTGCTCTTCTCTATGACAGTGTTGATATTTGACCTCTGGGAAACTAAACCAAAGCAATGTTGGACTTTGTCTCATTTTTGAGTATCTGGCCTTCTTCTAAAACCCATTTTGAATAGCACTTTTATCATTAATACTACTATAAATGTTCACAATCAAATCCAACTGTTTGGTTGTGACATGGCACAATGTTTGCTGAATGGTGAATTTTTCTGGACCATGGTAGTGAACATAGTGACGATCATCAACTCAGTCATTGAGTAGCTGCTCTTTGGTGGGTTTGAGGTTAGCTACTGCTACGACAGCTTGATTGCTAACCAACAGTCTTTTAAAACCTCTTTTTTTAAAAAAAAAAAAAAATCTGTTTTGGCTTTATTGATTAAGAAACTTTGCTTCTGCCATAACAGATTCTTGCAGGAGAACAGAATAGCTTGTGAGATTGGGCTGTATTACATCCTTCACATCACTAAACAGAGGAACAAGAATGCTTTCCTTAGGCTCTTGCCAGCACTAGGTAAGTTTTTGTCTCCTCTTCTACTCTAAAGCTGTTTGCCTTGTACTGGATATCAAGGAGGCAGGTAAACCTGGAGTGAAAGTGAATTCAGCATCAAAGATGTAATGTTCTACCTTTGGCTCTTCTGGTGACTTAGTTGTAAGGACCTGCACAAGTGTTTGTTTTTGTCAGCAGTTAGGATACTTTTCTGCTGATCCAAAAATTTAGGGGTAGTGGCTGAAGGTCAGTAGTTCCTTGGATCAAAGGCTTTTTTAACCATGAGATTAGTTGAGAACTATTTGGAATGAATCTGACAAATAAAAGAGCAAGTGGCTTAATTCTGCCACTGCTCATAGTAATTGCAGGTGGCCAGAAATTCTTGGGACTTGGCTTTCTGTGGTAAAAAAACCTGTAACAAAACAGGATTGAACACAGCCTTAAATTCTTCCCTGGGATTATCTTCTTCACTGACTTCTCTGGCATAAGTTGCATGAGAGCTCTGAAGCAATTTTAGGAATTGCAGCTCCTGGAAATGGTGGTGGGGGTTCACGTCCCACTCCCTCACCCCAGCTCGGGTGTTCTGTGAACCCTTTCCTGAACTGTCAGCTCATTTACATGGGTGAGTTTTCCACTGGTAAGTGGTTTATATCTGCTCACTGAGGAGTGCAAGGAGGTGGATGTGGCCATGAACAGGATGGTGGAGAAGGAGAGTAAGGAACTTTGTGATTTTGGCAGGAGCAAGCTACTCTGTGACTTCAGCCTTGGTGGAGACATGGGCTTTCTACATATTCTCACCCCTCTGCCCCTAATCTTTTACGTCTGAAAGATCAAAGCTTCCTGCGTGGGCTACCTGTTTTACAAGGAAACCTCACTGCAAAGTTTTCAGCAGGAATATCTGCTGTGTAATCAGGTTTTGGCACATCCTTGTCAGTCTCAGTCTTTTTCCTTTTCATGTTGTACAGTTGAGACGTTCAGTGACTTGGCCTTCGGTGATATTTTTCTGCATCTGCTTACTGGTAACCTCACGCTGCTGGGTGATGAATTTGCACTTGAGGAGTTCTGCACCAGTCTCTTTGATGGCTTCTTTCTCACTGCTTGCTCAAGGTAAATCTAATTTTTGTCAGGGGAAAGTGAGGAAAGTGAGTTTACAGGACACCTGAGAAAGGTTATGCTGATTTGAACTATAGTTTAATAGTTCAGCAAACTCTTCACGAATAGTGGAAATATTAGCCTGATGCTGGTTTTCTTTAAGGAAAAGCTTATATTTTGTGATGAGTTTTGATCAGCAAATTTGTTAAGTGTTGATTATGAACTATTATCTAAACTGTAATTCATTATTTGTAAGTTGGAGTTGCAAAAGATTATATCCTTCATGCTTTGCAGTAGCTCTGAATATGAAGAGTTAACTTCAGCTCTTTGTGGTATTAGCTGCACACAGAAAATCTGTTTGTATCTGTTAGTTCTGTTAAGTCAGTGTGGCTCCAGAAGCTTCCCCAAAAGTGACTAGAACTGCTGTTCAGGCACTGCAGCGTGTGCTGCTGCTGCTGCCACTTCCTCCACGCACATGGAAAGACGAACATCCTCCTGCACGGACATACGGCCTGTGCAACAGAGACACCAGCTGCTGCCACGTGCTACAGTCTTTGCTTAAAATCTGTCCCTTCCTTCCTCATAGTTGCTACAGTTAGTCCACTCCTGTTGGATAATTACATGAATTGCTTGGAAGTCTCTAAGGCAGGGTTAGCACTTTGCAGCATGCAGGTTACAGTTCTCAGGTGTTTTGGAAAATTTTAATAAAGCTGCCTGTCTTTGGGTGTATGAATTATTCTGGTACTGTTGCTGTCGCTTTCGTGTTCTCAAGGTAGTGTTTGTTTGTGTCAGTTACTCTGCTCTAAAATTTGCTTTTTGCAGAAAGGAGAATGTACATAGACATGTGCTAAGACTGCTGCTTCATCTGCATCACAAAGTGGCGCCTGCCAAATTAGAGTCTCTCCAGAAGGCTTTGGAACCCACCAAGCAGGTAAGAAGGGAAGCATGAGAAAGGGAAAATTAATTGCAAATAAAAGCAGCTGCCTTTCCAGGCGTTGCTTAATGGAACATGAGCTCTGCTTTCCAAGTGTACCAAGATGTGTCTTAATTACCCTGTAACTTCCTCTTTCTGTGCTGGCTTGTGTTAAAACACACAGGGTGATTGCATACTTAGTGTTCTAGCTAGTAGCAGCTAGAGTGAGGTATGACTCTTCTGTTTTTCTCCTCCTGAATTCTCATTCTGCAGAGCGGGGAAGCTGTGAAGGAGCTTTATAACCAACTCACTGAGAAACTGGAGCTTCGCAAGCCAAGTCCAGCTGAAGTGACTGAGACTCCCTCCATGGAACTGCCCTTGCCCACTGTGCCCACACCAGCCTCACGCTGAGCTATGTAGTGCAAGAGTGAGACAGGAGAACAACTAACCCAGTGCTCTGCAGCGTGAAGGCACTGTGCTGCCTTTCAAATGTCTCTGCCTACAGGGTGAAAACAAAAAAACCACTGAAGCTCTTTCAGGAATCACTGCAGTTTACCCAACTCACCGGCTCTTGCTGGTTAGAAAACTGTATGCAGTGCATTGCAAAGGTTTACTTTTCTTAGGTAGCTGAGTGTCGTCTTGTAGATTCACTTAAAATCTGACTGTACATTGTTTTTTTCAAAAAGAAAGTGCATATTTTTAAGCTTGTCATCTTGTATTTTTAAACTTTACTTTAAGAACTGATCAATGAATGTTTAACTCCATTATGGCTGAGCAGGTACTGTGAACTCCTGAAGGCTAGCCATAGCTTTCGTCAGCTGTTATTTTGCTCCTCCAGGTTTTTAGAGAAGATGCTCAACAGAAGGAAATGTCAGAGGAGATAAGCTCCATTGATACAATTTCCTGTTTGAGGATCTAACTCTTTTGGTACGTGGTAAGATGTGCTGCATTAGTCAGAGATGTCCACCATTGTCACTAGATCAAGAAGCAGTCAACAGCCATCTTCTCAGCTAAAGTCTTACAAAGGCGGCCAGAAATTGAATCATTCTCGCCCCTTTTCTCCCCAGTTTTCTCCAAAGGAGTAGCTTGAAATGAGTCCTGGAGCCAGTGAAAAAAAATAAGATTAGCATATTCCCCAATGACAATAGGGTTTGAGTGTAGGTGGAGTGAAATTCTGTCTTTGAAAAAACAGCCTGTTCTTCATGGCTTATTTGTGTCCCTGTCTGTACTGTTACAGTTAATTCTTGTTCTGCTTCTGTTGCTGCCTCAGTGTAAGCCTCAGGTAGAGTGCAGGAAGATGGGCATGGGAGAAGAATGAGCTATGTGAGCTTACAAGGGACTTCACACTGATTTCAGTAGGTGCCATATGCCTGAAAAGAATCTTGCCAGTCCCCTGGAAGCTGCCTGCATGAATTATTCTGAATCGCACCTCTGAGGGTCTGCAGTCCACCCGTGACTCAGAGCAGGACCAGCCTAGGTGAGGTTGCTCAAGAGCAAGACTTTGTATTTACCTTAGTTGAGTTTCATGAGGTTCCTGTCAGGCCATTTCTCCAGCCTGTTGAGGGGGGTCCCTTTGAGCAACAGCCCTGCCCGGTGTATCATCCATGCCAAAAGCTGGGTATCATTTGCAAACTCGCTGAGGGTGTGTTCTCTCTTCAGGCTGTAAATAGAGGCATTAAACAATATTAGCTGCATTAATGACCCTTGAGGAATGCCATGAGTAACGGGCTGCCAGTTGGACTTTGTGCTATTGATCACAACCCTCTGAGCCTGGTGTCCCACCAGTTTTCCCTGAAGCTATCTGAACTGTATCAAAACGATTTGATGGGTTCTTCAGACAGTTGGGCTAAAAGCTGTTTAGAGTCAAGACAGGCTACCCACTGTGCACCCCCAACCACCAAGCCAAGCATTTCTTTATAGAAGGCTATTGGGTTTGGCAGGCACAATTAACCCTTGGAACTTACCCAGCCATGCCCTGTGACTTTCTTGTCCATGTTTCTGGATATCATGGTGGGGTTTTTTTCGCCCATCACCCCTTGTTTCCTGGGATTTGAGCATTCCCAGTACCAAGTCATGTTGATGAGACCTGCATTTCCTGAAGCTGTGTGGAAAAAAAAAAAAAAGAAACATGCGCTAGTTAAGTAGAGGTGGAAATCTCCCCAAAGCTGCTGACTCTGTTTTTGTATGATTTTCTTCCCCCTGAATTCTCAAGTGCTGCATGAGGAAAGTGAGCGTAACCTCTCTTTATCACCTTGGTGCTTTTTTTCTCTTTTTAGGCAAAGACTTGTCTATATCTTGTGGGAGAACTGGAAAGACAGGTTAAGTCTGTGTATGAGACAAGGGCACTGTCCTCTAGTCCACGCAGTCTTTGTGCACCTCGTCCCCACTCCAGCTCCTGGGGTCAGTATTGCCTTTGGAAGGCTCTTGGCACTTCTGCCGTCTGATCTTGGAAACAGGAACTGGGTGTAACAATCAGGTCTTTCTTGCAAAGTTTTGTTTTTAATCTGTTTAAACTGTCATGGTAACTTATACAAAATAACATCCCACGTTGCTGGCAAACCTTTCGCAATGAACCTACTCGAGCCCGTGCTCTGCTCAGACTTGAAGGTTATTTTAGGTTTGTGTCAGGGATTCTCTCTGTCACTAAAGGTTTTCCTTATACCGCATGCTGACTTGGCACTCTCCTGCAGCACGAACTTCTTTTAATCCAGGCTGACTCTGTGGTTTACTACTTGGTAGAAAAACCCCTTGTGTTTCAGCCTGTACAGTACTAAGATACATGCTGGTGATTTTTTTCCAGGCTTTTAGATCCACAAAGAAATTGAATCCCAGAGCACAAACTGGCCATTACCAGCGCTGGCGGCTGCTTTGGCTGAGGAGGGGAAATCGGTGGGCAGTGGAGAGTGGAGGTGGCTGCCAGTCCGTGCTCTCCTGGCCTGCCTTCTGCACAAAGATGTGATAAGAGGAGAGACACTTTTCTGAAAACAGTTTTGGTAGTGAACATCATGGTCTGTTTCCATTCTTTTGAGATGAGGGTGGTTTCATTCCAGTGCCAGAAATTACAGAGACTCCTGTTGTATGGGTGACCCTCCGCACGGCCCGGGGCAGGAGCTGGCTGCCCTGGTGCAGGATGCTCTGCTCGGGCTGGGCCAGCGTCAGGGCCCCTCTGGGTTCTGCTCTGGCCTTCCTGCTTGGAGGAGCTCACTCTCTCCTGCTCCCCAGATGCTGTCCTGTGGGATGGCAGTGTCCTGCGCCTCAACTACCGGCTGAAGTACAGCTGGTCTGTGTAAGAGTGTTATTTTTTTTTTTAACCTTTGTTAAGGTGTCTGGATGTAGCCCCGTGTCAGTGGCACCGGCCGATGCTGTGCGGTGTGTGCTGCTGTGGGTGCACACTAGAGGGTAGTGGCTGCCCTGCCTGTCCTGCCCATAACCTGCTGCTTGAAATCCCTCCCAGTTTGGCGTGGCACAGAGCGCTGGAATCGCTCCCTCTTTACACTTAGGTCACAGTTTGTCTTTATAACAGTGGTGTGATACCTGTGATATGAAAAAACCGTGTATTCTCTCCAAACTTGCTGTGCCTGACTGGGGAGTGAATTTTGACAGTTGATTTCTAATTAATTTGAGTAATCTGGACCTCTCTCTCTGCTTTTCCTGAGAGATCAGAGTAACTAATAGTCCAGAGAGGTTCTTCAGGGTTTTTGAATGGTTAACATTTAACATTAATGTTTGCCTCAGCCGTCAGCAGCAAGTGCTCCAGCCACACCGCCCAAGTCGCCGGAAGGCAAAAGCAGGGACTGGGAGAATGAGGAACCACCTACTGTAGGAGAAGATCAGGTTTGAGAGCATCTAAGGAACCTGAAGGTGCAGAAGTTCAGGGGACCTGATGAGATGCATCCGCGGGTCCTGAGGGAACTGTCGGATGAAGTGACTAAGCTACTGTCTGTCACATTTGAGAAGTTGTGGCAGGCCAGTAAAGTTCCCACTGACTGGAAAAGGGGAAACATAACCCCCATTTAACTTCCATTTAACCCTTCCAGTGCTTAAAGGGGGCTACAGGAAAGGTGGGAAGAGACTCTTTATCAGGGGGGTGGGGATAGGATGACTGGTGACGGTTTTAAACTGGCAGAGGGGAAATTTAGATTAGATATAAGGAATAAATTCTTCCCTGTGAGGGTGGTGGTGTGCTGGCCCAGGGTGCCCAGAGCAGCTGTGGCTGCCCCCTCCCTGGAGGGGTTCAAGGCCAGGTTGGACGGGGCTGGGAGCACCCTGGGCTGGGGGAAGGGGGCCCTGCCTGGGGCAGGGGGGTAGGATTAGATGGTCTTTAAGGTCCCTTCCAACCCAAACAGGTCTGTGATGCTGTGATTTAACTGAAATTTTATGATGAGCTATGGAACAAATAACTTGGATTGAGCTACATTAGAAGATTGATAGAGCAACTGTAACTGCAGTAGTTGATAGAAGTAGCCAGTTACTAAGGCCTGTGCTAGCAGAGGAACCAGGTTTTATATAAAATTAGTGGAAAGGACAATTACTATAGTGAAATATTTATTGCCAAACTACCTGAACCCCAAAGCATGTCTAGCATAATTTCAAAACACAACCAGATTCCACTTGACATTGATTTGATGTAGGATATCTCTTTGTGGACCAAGATAAAAGGAGACCAAACAAATCTTCTTGGCCAGAAAGAATTCGAAGACCCCCTGGATATCCCTCAGCTATTGTGAGTCCTCTCTATTTTGCTGGGAACTGTTTGGCTTTTAGGTGATTCCTGGCCTTCTCTCTATACAGCAGTGTAAAGGAAACATGCCATAGGTTTAACTCTGAAGCTAAATGAGTTAGTGTGCACGTGCAGTGCTGATTAGACTGCTTACTGCTGACAGCAGGAGCATGTTTGGTTCAGTAGTGCGGTTTCAGTTTACCGTGCTGGTCTGGGGTGTCTTCTTTGTTGGGAGTGTAATACTGCAGATTTTCTTGGTGTGTGAGAATATCAGTTCTCAAAGGAAGGTGATGGGTTGGGCTGAAATTCCAGCTCCAGGATATTGGGGATTTATTATCTTGAATCTCTTGCAGGCACTTTAAGAAAGGAAACGGCTGTAATCTAGAGGAAATAATTTTTTCCCAATTGCTTTGCATTTAACTCCAAAGCAGTGGAGTTTCTTAACCAGCAGGGCAAAGAAAGGTGTTAGTCCAACCTCAGAAATGGCTGTGGCTTGGGTGTTGAATCAAAAGGGAGACCGTAGAGGTTTCTCCCCAAAACCCAAAGAGGATATTCCAGCAGTGAGTACAGCATGGGGAGCAAGCGTGCAGGATGTACTCTGCCAAGATCTGTTTGATTCCTGTGCTGAACTGAAGTGGCTGGGTTTGAGAAGGCGCGTTGCCTCTGCGTCTGGCTTGTCTTCTTGCAGAGGTGAACACAAAACTTGGGTTGTCCTGAACTTCACCCTGTGGTTCCTGTGTGCCTGGCTCCAGAGCAGAGGCCCCAGCAGGCCGGGTCTGGTGTCTGCTCTGCTGGGACAGAGGAATGGATGGGTGGATGGACAGATGGATGGACGTATGACCTGGTAACCGCTTGTTAGGCGATGCAGCTCTGCCCTGCCAGCGGAGTGGCTGGTTCTCTGCAGATGGAGAGTTCTCAGCAATTACCAGGGACCAGCTTTCACCTTTCAAGGCTGGGCAGCCCTTGGCATAGGCCTGCGCAGA